ATCTAGTTTTTTGTTTCGACTCATGCTGAGTTATATCTTGAAAATAAAAGCATAATCGGGTTCATTTGAACTTGATAGAGAGTGGAATCGGATGGAGAAGAGGGCCAGGCTAGAGCCTCCAACTCCAAAAGATGAAGAAGATTAGTCGTCCGAAAACAATCACTCATCACATCTTGACAGGTCTAAACTGTGATTAGTGTCAAGATGCCGGTGCTTCCAGATCACACTGTAAGGGTATAGTGAAACTTAGGAAACTTTTCACTTAGCTCTTTTGTTGAGAGAGTTTCTCTTGTGATGATTGGTCTGTATAGGCAAAATTATTTCCCCATGTAGACTAGAATTAGTCGGCCGTCCGTCGGATGGATGGTTCGTATTTCTTGCGTTCCATATAAGATCCACAGCTCCGGGTTTCTGAATTTGTAAATTTCGTTTAGCTGCACCGACAGCATGTATTACTAGGATCGATGCATCCTTTGAAGCTTGCGACGATCCTCGGTTTCGTGAGGTTTTAAGATTGTGAAAACGTAACGGGAATGCCACTTCATTCATATTTCTGACGTTTACTGGACCTCTGAACTGTCCAAAATCACGTTGCTGTTGGTGGAGAAGAGCGAGGAGATCAGCTCTGTTGCCTGAAATTGGTTGTAGAGATGAGATGAAAAGATCTGATTAGATCTGATGAGGAAATTCTTGTCCAACGCGTGACTGATTGATTAGATTCATTGATTAGATATCGGTTATAACTGAAAACACCCTTTTCACTTAATTTTCACACGGCGTTGGCTGTTCCATGGATTTGGCTCACTTCTCGTTTAGACGATTCACTTAATTAGCGTGGTGTACAATGGCCCATTAAACAATTTGAATAGAAAGTAAAATTGATGAATGGCAAGTGTTCTGTGCAGCATCTGGCATGTTCACTTGACGACATCCTTGATAGTTCGAGGTATACTTCTTTCTGGAAGACCTTTTTCGAATGACTGTGATGAGTCTCGCTATCATGATCTTCGATCTCAATAATATTGTTGAACTTCTCTCAGAGCTGAAAAAGGTTTCCAACAATTGCAAGTAAAGAAGTCTCGGTCTCGGAGGCGAAGAACGACAACCGCTTCAGCCCCCACTAGAAGTTTTATCAGATCTTACCCCTGTCAAATGTTCTCCGACTTTCCCCATTTTCGTGATCCCTATGAGGAAACCTTGCCCGACAGAGAATAAACCATGACTGCCATGCTTTGATGTGGAATTATCCTTTGATAGACGCACGATTGATAAAATATACCCAAAATGGCTGACTGAGTCATGTGAATGTGGCCAGATGCTGATAAGACCACCCCTCAATAATTGCTAATAGGACTTCGTTTGCAGCCCAACTCGCATTTTTTCGGGTATCTCTTGATAACGTTACGTTACTCGCCCTCCAGGTATAGGTAAAGCAGAAAGAGGAAAGGCTTCATTACATCGATGTACGTAATCATAAAAAGAGTGACATTGGCAATGAATAGGTGTATTTCTACCTCCAAGTCGCAACTGAGTAAAGCTCTGTAGATCAACCTTCGAGTCTTCGAGTCTTCCTGGCTTCTAACTTCTAACGCACCTTTCGCCGTTCACCGGTAATTGTCGAATTACGTTACCGAGGAAAAGAAGAGAATGTGAGTGCAGCACTGATTGATGTAAGAGCACGAATCCCATGAACACATACCGAGTAGCTGGAGTGAATAAATGAATCAATAGCTTCGTTCGCCACTTTATTAATCAATCTAATCAGATGTAGCCCGAGGAGATTTTAAAGTTATCAGATCCGTCAATGAATGAAATCCTAGCCGGCCGGACTATACTTACTGCTCTAGTAGCAAAGTTCGTCAAGGATAGCAATTAACGTGGATCTAATCAACCAATCATAACTTCAGTCCTGCATATCTGTGTAAAAAATCTTCTCCTCGTTCTATCATTTGATTGGACATCACAGATTTATATTGATAGCGGATCTTTACCTTCTTGTGTAGCAGAATGGAGCCATTTACTATGATCCCACCAAAAAGAATGCTATCTGTATGGTTACCGCGCTGCACCCCTCCCCATAATTTTGGTTATGGGATGACGGAAGCTCCGATTTTACTGCCATACGATAGTCACATGAGTATGTACAACAATAATAATGCAACTGCTGATTTCCGAACTCGAAGGGATGGAACGGAGACCAAGTTACGCTAGGAGTAATAAGTAGATATGCACACCGCAAGCTAGCTTTCTTTTTTTCGCCATAAAGTACTAGTCCAGATGATATATGTTGTACTTGTAGCTCAAAGATCTTCATCTTCATCTTCCTCTTCATATCTTGATTGATATCTGAACATCACATTTTCATCCGAGCAATAAACTTCGCATATCTTCATACCAACCCACGTTGACTGGACAGAGACATATTGACACCAGTATTCAACACAACATGGGTTTCAGACCATGGAGAACGAAGACTGACGGCTTGGCCTCTGAGGTTGCCGTCGGTCCTGAGATGACAGCATATCCTGACGGTCTCGATCATAAGAATGATGGCCTCAACACAGCCGTTAAAGATCCAGCAAGTTCGTTAGATGATAGACCAGTAGAGGATGCCCAGCATGGTGTTCAAGCAGTAGAAGCTGTCACTTTGATTTGGACCAAGAACCAATTATATTTGGCATACGCATTGTGAGTTATTGATTCTCTTGATAAATTATATACCGTGTGAACCAGGCTCTAATACGGAATAGCATTTTCCTCGTTTTCTTCGTGATCTCTATGCAACAACAAATCCAGAACAATCTTTCGGTCTACGTCACTTCTTCTTTCGCCCTCTTGCCTTTGACTGGTACCACCAGTATCGTATCAAGCATTGTTGGTGGTGTCTTCAGACTTCCAATTGCTAAGTTTGTTGATTTGATTGGTCGCGCCGAAGGATTTGCGATCATGACCGGTTTCGCTACAATAGGTATTATTCCCCCACCTTCCGTGTCACAGTAATTCTTGGCTGTGTACGATGTATCTAATCATGTATAGGTCTGATCATGATGGCTGCGTGTAAAAACGTAGAAACTTATGCAGCTGCACAAGTAAGTGACGAGTCTAGTCCTCTCTAGACTCATGATTGCTAACAAAAATAGGTATTTTATTGGTTGGGATTCGATGGTATGATGTACGTCCTCGATGTCTTCATGGCCGATACATCAAGTTTGAAGAATCGAGCCTTGGTTTTCGCTTTCTCGACGACTCCATATATTGTAACAACTTGGATTGGACCTCCTGCGGCGTCTTCATTCCTCAAGACAAGTGGATGGCCATGGGCCTTCGGTGCTTTCGCAATCATTACTCCCGTGATCTGTATCCCGATTCTTTCACTTCTATGGGTGAATCAAGGTAAAGCAAAGAAAGCAGGCTTAATCAAGAAGATTGATAGTGGCCGCACATGGGCTGAGAGTATCAAATACTATTTCTGGGAATTCGATGGTAAGCCTATTTCAATCTCACGCATGTTTACTCTCGTCTAAAAATTATGCAGTAGTAATTGGTCTCCTCCTCGTCTCCGCTGGTTTTGTCCTCTTCCTTCTTCCTTTCTCCCTCGCCTCTTACCAAAAGGAAGGCTGGCACTCCGGCATGATCATCGCTATGCTCGTCATTGGAATATTATGTCTCATCGCTTTCGGTTTCTTCGAACGCTACGCTGGCCGTAAATCCTTCATTCCTATCGAGCTTCTCACTGACCGCACCGTCGTCGGCGCCTGCCTCTGCTCTGCCTTCTTCTTCATTTCCTTCTACTGCTGGGACTCTTACTTTTACAACTATCTCCAAGCGGTCCATAACCTCAGTGTCACCCACACTGGCTACGTCACCAACATATATTCCATCGGTTCCTGTTTCTGGGCTGTAGTCATCTCCTATGCCATCCGCGTCACCGGCCGTTTCAGGTGGCTCGCCCTCTACTTCGCAGTCCCACTTCAAACTTTGGGCGTGGGTCTTATGATTCATTTCCGCCAGCCAGATCAACCCATCGGATATGTCATCATGTGTCAAATTTTTATCGCCTTCTCCGGCGGAACCATTTCCATCTGTGAACAAATGGCTGTTATGGCTGCTGCACCACACAAAGGAGTTGCATCTATGTTAGCACTGATTGGTCTCTTCAGTTCCGTAGGAGGTGCTATCGGTGTAGCAATCTCAGGAGCAATCTATACCAACAAATTCCCCGCAGCATTAGCACAGAAGATCAGCGACCCAGACTTGGCAGCTCAATTATACGGAAGTCTAACTGTCCAATTGCAGTATCCTGTTGGCAGTGTGGAGCGGGACGCAGTCTGGTTTGCATATGGTGAGAGTATGAAATGGTTAGCTGTTGCCGGAGTAGTATTTTTGATACCCTGTTTCGTATTCGTGGGTATGTGGAGAGATTATAAGGTCGATGAGATCAAGCAAGTTAAGGGAACTGTTGCTTAGGGGAAAGAAAGTTCTTCTTTTCTAGTGATGAGAGAAGATGCCTTTATTTGAGAAAAAATGGGGGTTTTCACGGTTGCGCCCTTTCTGATGTACCCGTTATGGTATGGTACTTAATGTTGATGGAAAATGAGAAGGTAGAATTTTGGGGTGGGAAACTTAAAATGGGTTATTCAAGATGGGTTATTCGAGTCATTAATGAAACTTAATTATAACGCTATTCTACATGCTTAAGCATCGTATTTGTGTTGTTGATTTGTCAAATGTATCGTTGTCAATTACTTTCAGCTCGATTTTCGACGTGGCTATTCTGTAAAAGTATCCCGTTGCATGCCAAGAAGAATTTCAATACTGGATAATTATTTCCAAGGCCAGGCATCCGTTTCTTCAGTGACATCGACTATTTCCATACGAGGTAATTCATGAACCTTACCCATTTCTAGAAACATTTCCCCTCATAAATGACAGTTCTGATGGCTGCTTACTGCTCCCGAGCCGGCAAAGTACCGAATTTCATCCATTTCTACTGATGGGCTGATTGATCATCTGAGCCACGTATTGTGTCTTCGTGTGGAGGAACATTTCAGACAACTTTCTGGATGAAGCTCAAACTCATGTAAATGTATAAATTGCACTTGTATGGTTTTAAATTCTCCTCATTATCATTCCTTTCTTCTTTCTCTGGTATACTCTACACACTAGAGTCTACCTAAACTGCGGAATCTCAAGAATCCTCTACTCTATAGAAGTCACAAGAAGACCTTTCCGTCTCATTATATGACACCTCAAAATCGCTCATCTTAACTCGCCATGCATTCCCTCTTTCTCTCTCTCGTACTCCTTATTATTCACACCCAAATATCTCGCGCCGAAACTGCATGCACCGATTTCAGAATGCTAGTGTACATCGACTACACCCAATACCAATTCGGCTATCCCCCTTTCAATGACAACTACGATGTAGCTACATATATCCAAGACATCAATCGTCGCGATGCCGACAAGACTTTCCATCCTATCTCAGGCAGTAGTCCTGGAAATGGAACTTTCCGTCTCTCAGGAACGTATTGCGAGCCGGCGAATGCAACCACTCTCTTAGTTGCTACGCATGGATTGAATTCTGATAGAACGTAAGTTTGCTTCATTGGCTGTGAAGAAATGGAGTGTTATTTGTGAGCATTTATTGACTTGAATAGTTATTGGGATATACAATACCAGCCCGAAAAATACAATTTCGCAAATTACGTCGTAGGGAAAGGATATTCGTTTCTTTCTTATGATCTTCTAGGGGCAGGCCGTTCTCAACTGTACGTATACACGCTTTCCCCTCCTCAAGCTATACCCCCCATCACGAGGAGTGTTCAAACAGTCAAACACAAGTAAATCTTGACGATATTCACATCCTCACAGAATAGGCGGCTATACTCTCCAACTTCCCATGCACGTTGCCATGCTCGAGAAAATGCTCACCCGAATCCGCGAAAACTCGCTTTTTCCAAAATCGGTCGAACATACTGTGCCCAAGAAAATTGTCCCCATAGGATTCAATGTAGGTTCCCGCATTACAAACGCAGTGATAGCCAAGAATGCTTCTCTGGTCGACGCGGCAATCCTGACTGGAGTTGGCTACAAAGCCAGCGTTGCCAGCTCCATTGGCTCTCTTCTTTCGAGCTGGAATGGAAAGATTGCAACTACGGTGGATAAGAAATGGGAGGATTCGTCATACGATTCGGGGTCTTTGGATCAGGATGATAAGTTTGTTATTTGGAAATTGTAAGAAAGATTGTTCCTGATGAATCTGTCCCCATTTTCGTTTGTCAGGAAAAATTGAGGGGGTCAAGATCGAGAAATGCTTACGAGAATTTGATATAGGTTCTATAGAAAAGGATATTATGATACGAACCTTACAGATTCATACAGCACAGAGCATCGATATCCACAAGCTATAATGGAAAGCGCGACAGTGCCTCTGGTCGATCTGAATGCGAAAGCTTTTAAAAACCCGGTGTTGGTCATGGCGTATGTATTCTATCATGTTATCGATCCCTAAACGAATTTTGTCATACCTAAAGTTTATAGACTGACTTTCTTTAATACAAAGCGGCGAATACGATTATATAAACTGTGGAGGCAACTGCCAAGGCATTTTGGGGCCATCAGCTAGAGAAGCATTTCCTAACTCCAAAGGATTTCAGAGTCATGTTCAGCCAGGTGCAGCTCACAGTTTGAATTTAGCTGTAAGTTCCCCCCTCTCCTGTAACTCGATTTTGTAGTTGAGTGTATTGGCTGTGAAAGTTCTCACTATCAAGGTGTTGGGATGTTTTGATTGATTTTGACTGACATTTTCCTAATAACAGTATAATGCGACGGGCGGCTACCAGGTTATTGTAGATTTTCTGAAGAAGAATGGGCTCTAAATGAGGGATTTTAATGAGTCTCTAGTCTTGAAGTCGTTGCTAGCTACAGTACATGAAACATATATCTTGAATTAACAGAAAATGTCACGTTTTGTCACCAAATTGAGAACTACCTCGCCGCATGCTAGAAGTTGTCATTCGATGATTTTCCAATCTCCGACTTCCATGCGTTCTTGTGAACGACGGTGCGAACCGGAATGGGAGGTTATTAGTGACTCTATGCGATATTTCTGTGGCACGCGCACCCAATTCTTGAAAGCGATCGATAAAGCGATAGGAAGTCCCTATTCGAGCAATAGCGCAAACATTGACTTAAGGCATAGTCAATGGCAGTATTAGTATTTCAAACACCCATTTTGAGTTATCATCCCGAAGTTGTCATTTCATGACCAAGCATGGAGAATGATTGAAAGGACCTTGAAACCCCTCCTGGTTGGATTCAAAATCAGAGCACCTTCAACATTGGTGTCGGCTTGAGTCGCCTGAATGGCTGCGAGCACAAGCAAGCGCTGTATATATTTTGCCCCGGCATATGTCCCCGGAAGAAAGATAATTTCAGATTCGTTACCCGAAGACCAAAATGAGGCCAAAGTATCAAACCATTAAGTAGAAAGGAGAATAAATGTCAACCATAGTTCGTATCAATTTCGTACCCCCAAGCAATATCCCGTAATTCGCCGCAATCGTTACCAAGGCTGAACTAAAAAGTCCAAAACGTGTCCCCCCATACCTTGTATCATCTGTGCCTTAATCGAATGTACGAAATACGAATAGGAACAATTTCTAAGGCCCACCACGACTCCTTTTTCCTTCAAGCTTTCCACATGACCAATTGCCATAAGCGCAACTACTTTTTTCTTACCTCTTAGTCATATTGTGTGTGAAACTTGACGTAGACAAAGTACACGATTTTAGGGGATTGATAGAGTAAGATTTCTGACAATAAGCCACCAATACGTAGCATCACCAATGAGATCGTATCCCCCACCTCCTTGAAGAAATAAGCGATAGGGCTGCCTTCCCCTTTTGTTTCAGATGCAAGCAATTATTCGATCCTCTCACCGATTGGTGTTACAAAGTGTAGTAAGACACAGCCGCTCATGCTATCATTTGCGAAGACTCGACGGGAAGTTTTTGTACCGGTTATTGTAGGCTAATTGTAGAAATCGTTTATAGAAAAGGCTTATTCATGAACTCGTGGAGGCTCTAGTCTGATTGTTCGATGACTAGGGTTGCCACCCAGAGTGACATCAATGTACCTACATATCTGACTCAATTACACACATCCATGTATACTGGATGATCTCATCTCATCCCAATCTACCTCAATAGTAAAAGATGCTCAAGTCAATCTATATTCTTCGGCATTCGACCAATCTTCTGAAAGCCAGAAAGGAGTACCATGTTGAGTTTCGAAGACATGATACTAGGATAATAATCTTGTCAATGATTCCTTCCATGTGAATAAAGCAATCTTTAAGCTCTGTAAGGCTACATTCGGTGCACAAAGGTGGCGTGTCGAGTTCACGCACCTCTTTTACGTTTTTGTCATACCATCCTTGACCCATACATTTACACATTGGGCGAGAACAGGGAACCTCACTCACCTAACGCCTATACACAGCCTGACTTGATTTAGGAGGCGCTGACAAGGTGTGTTGGATTGCGAAAGTGATGGTATCGAGAAAAGACTGAGTTGAGTTGCACTCACGTACTGAGGGAATGGCACATGGGACGTTTTGTAAGTCGAGGGAGAAAGCTGCCACCGAGAAGTATAAAGGTAGAAAATTCCCAGAAGGATCCGTTCCTTGTCTTGTTCTATAGCAATTCTCATGCGATATAGTTCAGATTTAATTTCCACTTCTTCTCATTGATCTCGTACCTAACCTGGTCAGTTGCAATCAGTGTCACCTATTAGCAATCTTTCGATCGATTCTTGCTTCAATCCACTCAAAAATTCTAACAACATACACTCTATCAACATGTCTTCCGCCATGACTTCCACTATCCCAGCGGACAAACTGAACCTTGACTCAACACCTTCTCGAAGTCCAACACCTACACCACAAGATGTCGATGCTCTCGGCCAAGTAGAAACACAATATGTGCTCCCACCCCTTTGTACCCTCTCCGAAGCCGAGTACATAGGTGTCTTACGATCCATCGGCGCTACGCACAAAGACAGCCCATCGCGGCCAGTTGAAATAGCTTCTGGTTCTCCTCTCTTCTCACATCGGCACTTGCCTAACGGTCTTTATAAAGATATTGTGCGAACACGTCAGAAGAGCCAACTGGCGTATTATCTCTCCAGTACCTTTTACAGTCTTGCATTAATCCTTCAACTCCTTTTTGGAGCTGTATTGACTGCTCTCGGATCTTCCTCTGCCGCAAAACATGGACTTGCGATAACTATATTAGCGGCTGCAAACACAGTCAACGCCGGCTTGATAGCTTTATTCAACAACACGGGAATACCGGACAGGTTTCTGAATGATTGGAATGAATTCGAGGATGTTGAAATGTTTGTTAGGGAGTTGATCGAAACAGGCTTGGTGGACACAGATAAAACTAAAGAGCAAGTGGTAGCAGGTTGCTTTGTGAGATTTCAGGCGGCGAAAATGACTGTAAGGAAGAACAAGCCAGCGAGTTATAATGTGACAATAAAGGAGAACCAGAAAGGGAGATAATTATTACATATGTGGGCTGAGAAGATGATAATACGTTTGCTTGAGGGTTGCTTTTTTGGTCGAGAGAATATGGGTTAGCAGAGGATGTCAATGGATATATGTCTTGAATGCTTGCATTTGTTAAAGGCCTACTTATTTTTTTCCCCCGAGTCTTTGTCTGTTGCCTTGACGGGGTCATGGTCGATTCTAATTGCTAGAATAATATGCACAACTAAAGTCTTCAACTTCTTCTCATCCTGGTGCAACTCCCCTGAAATTTTGTACAACAGCTTGCTTCCTGCGACCATTAACCTGAACCATACATTCTTCGGTATAAACCCCAAATCTACAGTCCTTGTCTTTCGTACTCAATGCCGGGAGAAAATCAAAAAGATATGAAAGAATGTAAAAACAGAAGACGTAGGACACGGCCCATTCGATAGCAGCACCCGCATCCCAGTTCTTTGCTATGAAGACATACCAGTATGCTAATCCGAGAATACCTTCCAGAGCAAGAAAAGCGAGTTTCGTGTAAGCCGAAACCATCAAGTTCGCATGCGTGTCTCGATATTCTGGTTTATGTCAGATTATGTATGAAATAGAGAGAAAAAAAGAGGAGACATACTACATCCCATGCGATAATGTTCCCAAAATTGGCAAAACGCACTAAAAGCATATCCAGAAATGAATAACCCCACCATTATGTTGTGTATAGTTCTAAACCTGAAAACATCGAATATGCTCAGAAAGATCAAGCCCACGGATCCAACTACAGCCGACACAATGCTCAGATAAGCCACTACTCTCTCTGTTTTATCTGTGTTCCTTGCAAGACGACCTTTATGACGAAGTGTGCGTTCTGCAACAAAACATCCTGCGAGCAAGAAAGTGGTCAGGACACAACCTATTATAAATATTGGCTGCATTTCTTTGGTAGCTCCGATGTCTGATACGTATGGTACTGAATGAAATTGGGAAGCCATTGATGGATAAGGTGGTCGGGCTGGTATAGTAGAGTTAAGATGATCATGAGGGGGAAAGACGATAAAGGCTCCAAGCAGGGCATTGAGTGTGGTAAACCAGATGATAGCTGAGGCCGTTGGAATCATCTAGCTGTTGTCAGACATCAAGCGAAGAGCAAGTTCTGATAGGAAAGCAAACCCAATATGAAAATACCTGCCACATGATGGACAAGGGGGGTACAATACTTAGAATTATCGATACTTTAAGCAGAAGCGCAAGAAGGTATTCATGAACTAAGGGAGAAATCAAACCAATCGACGTCACATAACCCCCAACAAAAGTGAGTGGATAGTATGTGGGTTTGGGTAGCAATAATAGATTGTGATGATGACTCCTTTCAGTGAGAAGACACTTTACTTATAGTGTTTTGAAAGAGAATGAACGTTCAACATAGAAAGAGCAATGCATTCCATTTGGAAGACAATCTTAGAAGGCTCGAAATCGTAGCCCATTTGCTCTTGCTTTCACGGGCCAATAGACCGGCGAACGACAATATGAAACTGGTAGTTACATAACGCACATAAACTTATATGGCCAAGTACAATTAAGATGAAAAATGTTTACAGTTGGTAGATGAACAGCTCGCATCAGAATGACAAAAAGATCACTGGATGGATACCCGAAGCCATCTTTATGAGAAAAGCTGATGATTAATCAATTGGCGCTAGGACTTCAAGATCTCAGCCTTGTCAACCCCGAAATGTGCATCAAAGCCTTATGCTTCAATCTAAGCTTAATACCCGACAAACCGTCTATAGAACAAAACGACACAATTCCAAGACTCGGAATATGTTGCGCTAGGATCGTCAATTGCCGCCCCGAATCAATATGGCAGTTTCACCTCTCATTGTCCCATCAGCGGGCTCTGGCGAGAGAAGTGCAAGCAGATCGAAGCTCTCAAGCGCCGTCCCCAGTGGCAATGGGACACCTTCTGATGGTCCAGCTGCAAGCGCCGGCACAACTTATGATTTAGCAGAGCAGATGAACGAAAATGAGAGATCTAAATATGTCAAGGTACCTATTTCATGGCATGACATTTTTAACTTGTAACATAGCTAACCCACTTGTCGTCTTAGGCAAGAAGCTTGGAGAGGGAACATATGCCAACGTTTATCTGGGCCACCTGAGGACCGATCCCAAGGTTCTCGTCGCTATCAAAAAAATTAAAATACAAAAAGAATACACAGAGGGAATGGCACCCGATGCCATCCGCGAATTGAAGCACCTCCAAGAAATCTCCCACCCTAATGTAATATCTCTCCTCTCAGTATTCTCTTCTAAAGACCAAAACCTGAACCTCGTCCTCGAATTCTTACCCCTCGGGGATCTTGAAATGTTGATCAAAGACGTTGATGGCGTACGGTACGGTGCGGCCGACATAAAAGCTTGGATGGGCATGCTCAGTCGAGCCATCTGGTTTTGTCACGAAAACTTCGTTCTACACCGGGATATCAAACCAAACAATTTGCTGATTGCCGCAGACGGAGAGGTCAAACTTGCAGATTTTGGTTTGGCGAGAAATTTCGCAGATCCCCAGCGAACTATGACATCGAATGTTATCACACGTTGGTATCGACCACCTGAGCTGTTGTTCGGCGCCAGGCATTATTCCGGCGCTGTGGATATCTGGTCAGTGGGACTTGTATTTGCCGAAATGCTTTTAAGAATTCCATTTCTAGGTGGTGAAACTGAGGTTCATCAGGTCTCTCTAATCTGTCAAGCTATCGGTACACCAACTGAAGATAATTGGCCGGGAGTCACCAAATTACCAGAATACACAGTGCCCGACCCACCAAACCCAGTAGCTCCACGAGAAAACTATCTGGGCATGTTTGGAACAGCTGGGCCGGAGGGGGTAGATTTGTTAATGAACATGTTGATACTGGATCCCAGTAAAAGAATCACGGCGAGGCAGGTTTTAGAACATCCTTGGTGGGCATCAGATCCTAAACCTACAAAAAATCAAGATCTTCCAAAGAAGAGAGGTGGCGAGGAAAAGATGGGAGAGGATCTGAAGAGGAGACCAGGACTAGTAGATGATGATCGGACGAGTAAGGTAGCGAGGAAGTTGGATTTTTCTTCTACGAGGTAAAGTTTTTGGGTCACCAAACATTATGCGGCGTATATTGTCACCTGGCGTCAAGGATGAGGCGTCAAGGAGGATTGGAAAGTGGACTTTGCAGACAAGGAGACAAGAAGGCCTGTTCGTGAAGCTTCTATCGAAAGATTAGACCTCAATAGAGAACAGACGTGCACCTCTTGCTCTCGCTGGTGGTACTAGATCTGAGTACAAAGAAGTTGCATTTGATGCTGCATTCGTTCTTCTCCCAGAACCAGCTACAAAAAGTACTGAATCTACTGGAAAAGCGCAAGAGTGGAAACTATATAGTCATTATAATAACAATGAAATTTATTCCATCATGTTCATCGGTCTTAGAGAGACACATTCATTCATGTCTCATAAAGTCTCTATGTACGCCGTGCTAATATTTTCTTCCCCCCCCCCCACTATATCTCACATAACTCCACATCCAATTCCATACATAGCCCTCTCAACGTCTTTCTTAACCGTATACCAATCGGCCCTCCTCTCCGCAAACTCGTAAACCTCCTCCGCCCTGAATATACCCCCGAATCTATCACCATCAGCAATAACCGTCGCCATTTCCTTGGCGTGATTTGGACTGATCAAATAAATCTGACTCAATTCTCTTAATGCCTTGAAATACTGCAGTAAGTCTGCATTCCTCAGAGTCTTGATGTACACAAAGTATATATTCATATCGGAGATGAGTTTGATAGCTCCAGAGGTGGAGATGCGCTGTCGTTTGAGATGTTTGCAGACGGCGGTGAAGAGACGGAGTCCTACTTCTTGATTGAAGACGTCGAGCATTGTTTTGTCGGTACTTCCAGTGAGCATTTTAGTGTGGGATTCTACGAGAGCGACGACTTGCACGGCGGTGGAAGTTGGTCCGATATCAATATCTGAGTTGGCACCAGTGGCATCGAATTCGGGTGGATTGTAGTCAGTGGGAAGCTGGGTGGTGCCGCAAATATATTCGACTTCGTCCATTAGGACATCAATACCTTTATTCAAGCCGGCTGCGACTCTCTCATCCAGCATCTGTTCGAATTTTTTCTTGGCTTTAACGGCGGGATCGAGAAAATCATTCCGATCAGCCAGTTTAGTCGTTGCAAGTTGCTGTTCGTAAAATACATCGATCATCTGGGAGATCAAGTCTCCAACATTGACAAGCTCAAGGAATGTCATTAGAGGCACCACTACACCCTGTTGGTGCTCGCTAATCTCACGAGGGTTGTACTTGGAGAGATGATCCACAGCTTTATCGAACCCTGTTTTGACGTGTCTAGTTCCAAGAATTTGCAATAATACTACGAATATTGCCTCGCACTGTTCTCGAGCTTCTTCTCCCGTTTGACCTCCTAGTCGGACGAAAAGAGCTGCACGTTCAATACTAGCTTTTGCAGAATGCGTAAGGTCTAGAGCCACTTCAATACTGAAGAGTGATCGAATTCCTTCCAACCTAGAGGCCATCAAAGCTGCTTTGGCTGCAAGTTCATCTGTTGGTGCTTCGGTCGGTAGTGGAACCGATATTGCACCTGGTGGTAATGATGGAGTGGGTGAACGAGAAGGTACTGGTGACTGACTCGCACTAAGTACCTGCAAGCTTGATCGACTCCCTGCCTGCGGCGCTACTACAGGCTTAGTCGCACCAAATGGCGACATTGTAGGTAAAACATTGACAGGCATCATAACAACTTTTTTGAACGAACTCATGAAATCCTTCTTATCTGCCACACGATTGATATTGCCCATAAAGAATGATTCTTTTGACGCATCTTGAGCCGAGAGTTTCGTCTCCCACTCTCCTACTTCTGATTCGGCGTGTCTTTTAAAGTGATCAAGCTCTTCTGATAGGTAGAGATCTACGTGAGGTTCAAACACTCGCGCTATAACAGCTTTAACTTTATCGAAAAAGTCTTTTCCTGAATTTCTGGTGGACCTGAGTGTAGATGCAAATTGCATACTTTGTTCAAAGATACCAGAAACCGCTTGCAGATAAGATGCAATGCTTCTTTCGTGGGATTCATCGAATAAAGGAGTGACGTATTCCATAAGAATATCCTCTGCGATTTTATTCAAAAATATCTGTAAAACATCCTCCCCTGGCGGGAAAACCCGATCGATTATATCTGCTTGTTCATTCACTTTCTTGGAAAGCTTTTCCAGAAACGCCCTTGACGGCTCAAGCGCTATGCCTTCAGAAGCTGCTTGGTTGATACAATCCATTGAGTTACCAAGAAAATCGCGGTCGGAGAATACTGGGTGTTTCTGAACGAATAATTCTATACCAGCATGTCCCCCATTCAGTACACCCAACACATGAGCATACCGCCGCATTCTACCGTCAATATCCCACACCTCGTAACCCTGCTCGAATTCTCTCAGTACTGCAGTCTCAAATATGCCCGTCATAGTGATTAACCTTTCCTCTCGTTGTCTCCATCCTTGAGCCCAATCACTCCGCGAGAACACTTGTAGATGAGCTAGCATTTGTGCCTGTTGTTCTGGTGTTCTGTAAACTCGAAATAAAACTGGATCAACATGACTCCTAGATCTAGCCAAATCGTAGTAGAAAGGTCCTAGTGCTGCATATATTTTCCCGTATTCATGCCTCGCAGACCCACGTATTGATCTAGCTTCCGCAAATACGTTCAACAAAGCTTCCGGATCTTGCATAGGCGTTCTAGTTCGTGGTGGGGGTGGTAGACTCATATGACCTTGCGCTGATATTGACAACGTCTCGAATCCATCCGGAAGGCCTCTAAGATTCTTCGAAGCAAATTCTGCCGATCTCCGCTGCTGTCGTAACTCTTCCTCTCCCGCATCGAATAACGTCGTGCTAGTTTTCCTCATTCCAGCAACATTCCCATTTCCTCCCCCAGCTCCACCAACACCAACACCAATCCCAATTCTTTTAGAATCCTCTTCTGCCCTTACTCGCACCATCTCTCGCTTTTTCCTCAGTATTTCTTCAAATCTTTTCCTAGCTTCTCCTTCGTTCCACACACCCATAGATTTCAGTCTCGATACCCATCGCGAATCCTCATATACCATTTCTTGCATTCGTTTCGATGTGCGCGCAAAGCTCATGAGATCTGGAATCGGAAGGTAGTCGAGAATCGTAGATATTATTTCAGCAGGCAGAACAGCCTTGCTGCCGTTGCTGCCGACCATTTCGGTAGCTCTCAAAGAACTTAGGATGCTGTTTCGATTGTTACCCCCAACTGGGGCGCGCCGGAAATTCGACATCGTGGGTTAAGTTCGCGTGTTATCGCGGGAGTGGGACAATGGTTCATGGAATTAAGGGCGTTAGTGAACGTATTCGCATTTTCCAATTATGGTGGTATCTTGACGTCTTCACCGTTGCTACTCAAGGTTGTGGCTGAAAGCTGGCCGACACATTGTAATGGAATCTGGAGATGTCGCTAGACTGGGAGTTGTGGCTTGGCTAGATTACCCCCACCACTAAGGTATGGATATATCCAGATTCATTCTTTGCAATACGCCCCATTCTACTTTCAACAAAACAGAAACTACTATTGTTTATGGATTCATTTCGTGCTTACAAGTATACCTACCTAGGTAGTTGATCGATCAACTTCACTATTTCACTAACAATTTACCCCCTCCCCCCGCGGGGAACCTCAGTAGACATCACACATAAAGATGCATACGGACTTTTTTGATCACATACTTTCCTTTTTGTGATTTCTCCTGATAAGAGATATCAAGTAGATTCGTCTCACATCCGAGGTGTGCTGTAGTGGTATGGAAATATCTAGAATGGTGAAGAAGGCAATGTTATTGATATTAGATGAGGGGTATCAGTTTAGTGGACAACCCCTTTTCGAGGAGCTCTCAGTTTTACTCCTCCCGCTTCAATCCTTTAACCTAGGAAACTGCAAGAATTCTAAGAGTTATATACGATTTTCAAGAAAGAGCATCTTTATTCATATAGTTATGGATTAAATTACCGGTCCCAAGTTAGTCGCTCCTGATCAATGAAGTGCCAAACACGAGAAAGAGCGACGGGAATAATAATCGCAACATTTTCTTTCACAACAAGCACCTAGAAAGGCCCCGGGTTCTTCATATACATATCAAATCCATCCCGCAACCCTTCTCAATTCCACATCCTGTGGTCTGTTAATTTGCAAAGTCAATTTGGGCGGACTACCTAAAACCATAGCAGCCAATCGAATTTTTGCATCCTGTTCGGTCTCGCCCTCTTGCCTCGCTATCTCTAATTTCTAATGACAGAAACTCGGTAATAAAACACTGAGGAACTCTACCTGAGCCATTTTAAAGACAAGACAGAAGCGCGGATCCGCGGACCAGGGGAAAAATCTGCCGCGAGGTTCACGGAGACTCTCACATCCAGGAGTCTCGGTGGAGGGCTCGAGCCAGCGAGATGGTCTGAATTTCAGAGAGCCGGAACATCATATCGATGATCTAGTGTCCAATGCAGAACTTGCCAACTTAGCTCATTGTTCCTGGTGCGAAGAAAAAGTCTTCTGAGGCCGCGGAATTGTCTTCACTACGTGAACAGCGGGCGTATAGAGGTGCAAGGTCTCAAACTAAGGCGTTTCGCTGCATTAGCACAGCTTGTCAAAACTTAAATCAGAAATACGTACCATCAATGTCAGGCAGCGAATGGGATTCAGAAAGTATGTCGAATAATCTCCTAAAGGGTGCGCATACATAACTTCTATCTGTCGAATTTCTCTAGTTACATATCTGAGAACTCCTGAACTGGTGTTGATTCTCTTGGTTTTTAATCTCCTGCTCCTCTTGCTAGTTTTATCCAGCACGAAACAGCTTTAAAAGAAAAAACAGTGATTTGCTTCAGAATCTGCGAGAAAATCAGTGTGCCTTGAGTTTTCGGAAGATTTGTGTAGACTGTGCATAACTAGATGATTGATTCAGACTTTTTAGCGCCTAGGAAGGGTGCTTTCGCCCTCTTCTGCAATAAATACAGGAGAAAAATAATTGAAAGGGGGAAGAAGAGAGAGGGAAGGAGAAAGAGCAGGAACAACAAAGAGAGCGATTTGTGTTTTGTGTTTTGTGTTTTGTGTTTTGGATAAGACATCTTCCAGGCATCTTCCAAAACAGTGTGTGCAGTAACACAAACCAGAATGAAACACAGAACAATATCCTCCATTCAACTAGCTAACTCACCGTCTATCGACTCAGAATAGCAGCCTACTCTATAAAGACTGATTATCGTAAAGGAGAGTCCTTTATCAAATGATCGAAACTAGCATGTTGTAAATTATGTTCCATCTTCACAGTGTGCTCTGGAAGAACCGACAAACTGCTTCCCCTCAGGATCCTCTTGTATCGTATCATCAAGAAACATCCCGTTTTCCTCTACCCTTCTCCTTCGCACTTCTCGCTTCTACCGAATACATGATCATTCCATCATTATTGCATACCTAATCCCCAAATTCTTTGTCCGCAAATACATTATAATTTTCACAACATCTTCTGATTTTAATTCGCATCAGCTCATTCTCAATTTCTTCCAGCTGCGTTTTCTGCATTGCTCATGATGTTTTAAAAAAGTATCTTAATATCTTGCGAAAATATCTGGCCGAAAACGAAGAAGAAAACTCCGGTGCATGAATCGAGCACTTGAGTGTTTGATGTATCAAGCCTGCACTTATCATCAAGTAGAAATACGAATCTCGATATCGAGGCAATCACACACCAGTACTCACTACATCGGTAAAAAAAAAGCTATATATGCCATCGGTTGCATTTCAGGATCGATACAGAAACAACGTTTCTTTCCCAAAATCACCTAAAAGCTCGATCTTTCCGGCTGCCATACCAAAGAGCTACTACCTGAATGAAGCTGGCACGATTGCAAGACTTGTACGCTACAAACAGCCAAGTATTCAGCAGGAATATGAAAAGTATGATTATCGAGATGCCGAGCTGCTATACAATTTATTCTGGCCTTCGGGTTATCTGGGAGGTCTGGAAAAACATAAACTGTGTCGAAGATGGGTTTCCATATTGTATTGTATAATGTAAGAAGAACAACCAAGCGCCGAAAAATATCACGAGACATTCTTGATTAGGTAGCGAAAGGAAGTTATATCTGTAATGAATCGATACCCACCGCTGCAAATCCCACAAACACACCTCTCCATCCGAAGATTACGCCGAGGAAACCGGGAGTATCAACCACGAATCTTGTGGTAAATAGATATACTCCCAAAAGAATAGTTAACGCTATCTATACCATGATCCGTAAATCATGGAATAAAGCTTTACATGAAGAACATCCAGACAAACCACCGAACTCCCGTAAACAAGCAGACACCCCTTACTGAGATGAGAGCCTGCCGCTGGCCATGGGCCTTTGTTTGCATCTTTCGACCCGTCTATCGAGGTCTTTACCAGCAACGCCGTTTCATGAGCATGCCCGTGAACGAAATAAGGAGTACTGCACAAGATAAGTAAATTAGCTTTTGCGATACCTAGTAAAGATGACCGAGCATCCACTTTGCATGCAATCATTTACTCGCAGATTAAGCTATTCCTACCCCTTCTCTATTAAGAGGCGATTTTCGTAACAACGCATATACATCATTTCTACTTTCCCAATCCATCAAATTCCACTGCATGAGAAAATCTCCGGATTAACAAACTTCATTAATGATAAAATTCCACTACTTTACTACAGATATTTTCTCCGCCTCCCTTTTTGGCCACCCTTTTCTCATCCCTATCTCCATTCCAATCATGTCACTGCTCCCAATTTCCATATTTAGTCCGCATATGTACTGTACAAACCCAAGCAACCTGACCCAAAACCCAAACAAAAAACGAAACGGTTATTACGTAAGCCATATTGATTTTCTTTCCTATGCGTATCTTCCTTCCCTCCATTTTCTCGCGTGGGCGGATGAAATATCATAAGATCATCCCAGTTTTCAAATAGCGTATCAACTTGGAAAGAAAAATCAAAGAAAGAACCTTGTTGCAAAATCCCACATCCCGAGAATCAAAAGTTCCGAACCCATTTCCCATAGCCCACCCGAAATTATATAAATACTGATAAAACTCTCTATTTAGATCTCCTCATGAAATCTGGGAGCTCTGCCCGGACTTGTGCTGACTGCTCCATGAGATGAGAATGGTCTAGGCGGCGCCAACTCGTCATTAAAGTTATCCCTTGCCTCCTGAAAGTCATCATCATCGTCGCCACTTAAATTGTCTTCTCTGCCCTTTGCTTTGTCACCAAATTCGCTAAGGCTACTCACGTCATCTCCTGCTCTTGTTCTACTTCTGCCTACTCTTTCAAATTCTTCTGGTTGTTGAGTAGGAGCAACAGTGGGGTTGGCTCCGGGGACAAGAGCGGTGGCATTTGCAACGTCCTTTATACTTTGTCGACTAAGAGATGTCGTACTATTATTAACACTCGCACCTGTGTAGGTATGACCACCCATAAATCCTTTCTCATCTTTAGTAGCATTAGATTCTGATAAGGATTTCGAGTGACGACCAGATATCCTTCCCATTTTAGACTTAAGCCAGTTCTTCACCTTGGAACCACTCTCAGAGGTTGGTGATGGGGTATTAGATGAAACTTGTTGACTTGGGTGTGCATCATCTGTAGCTCCAGATACATGAACGCTATTTCCATCTATAGAAGTACGGATAGGTACAGGAGCTGGAGCCGTAGTGGGGCGTTCAGATTCGCCAGGTACAGTGGCAGGTGAGGTTTTTGAAACTGGAGCACCTGGTTCGGATTTGGTGGTTGATTTACGACGTTCCTTTAGAGCAGCCTTCTCATCAGCTTTACGCTCCCTCTCTTCGTCTTTTTCTTGCTCTATAATATATATTAGTTTATGTTAATACACCGATTTTTTTGAAACAAGAACAACTTACGCTTCAATTTCTTGGTAATTTCTTTCTCCTCTTTCTCTCTCATTTTAATCTCTTGCGATTTTCTCTTTCGAGCCTCTTCCTCGAGTTTCAACTCAGCCTCTCGAAACCTCTTAGCTTCTGCCTTTGTGTTGATTTCCTCCAATTGCGGCTGGATTATCTTAGCGGCAGCAGCATCAATCACACTTTGATCGACAAATTTTCCACCACCAATATCGACTTTGCCAAAATTCTCCATTCTAGCTTTACTTTGGGCTTGAGCAGCTTCATGTGCTTTTAACTCCCATTCGTTGAGTAGAGATGGAGCAACTTTGCCAGTATTTTTAAATACTTGTTTATCCATCTCGTGAATATCTTTATTAACATTGCGCTTAGCTGCAGCATGTAAAGCATCGCGATCTCGTTGTCGCTTTTCTTCGTCTACTTTAGAGATATTGCTTGAGAATAAATTCATCTGAGCTCGGATTTTGTCAGACTGATGGCGATCCTCATCATAACTGGAAGCCCGACGTCTTGTTCGACCTCGCTTAGATAACTTCGAAGATATACTTGGGGTAGCTCCATAATAATCTCGATATTCACGATTTCTAATATCTTCGGTTGTCATTCTCGCCACTGACTCATTGGTGAGCTGCTGTGCTCTTGCTTGGAGATTATCAAAACGCATCGGTGTAGGTTCATCATCGCTATCTATAGAAAGTCTTCGCTGGCCGTGTGCTGCAGCTGCACCAGATTGCGCATTGGAAGTAGCAGCACTTTGTTTCTGCTGTTGGTTGTACATTTTTTTGGCCATAGCAATTGCTGAGGCTTTAAGGACATCTTCACGATTTTGGTCTTTGGGCACCTCCGGTTCAAATTGGTCGACAGGCGGCTGAGACGTATACATTTCTCGCGGCAGTGTTGTGAATGGTACCGATCCAACACTCTTTTCGAATGTATTAGGTTTTCGAACAGTGTTGGATCTATGAACAGCGACTGCAGCTTTCATGGCATTACTGGGCGTATTTGTTTGACCAGGATGGGTAGCTTTTCCAGCACCAATTTGAGATTTATGAACAGACTTTGCAGCTCTCAGAGCATTGCTTGCAGCATTGGCTTCATCCGGATAGGTTTCGGCAGAATAGGTAGGTTTCGCAGTATTAGTCTGAGATTTATGAACAGACTTCGCGGCTTTCAAAGCATTACTGGCAGCATTGGCTTCATCAGGATAGGTTTCAAGTTTTTGAGTCTTCACAGGTGTCGAATTTGCGCGTTTCCTGCTGCTAGCCATAGCACCAGTCGCAGCCAACAGGGAACCCTGTCTTCCAACAGCAGTGTGTCCATAATCCAATTGCGGTGATAATGTGTTTCCCTTCTTCATAGCTTGAGTTGCGGCAGTATTCCCCCATGCTGTAGGCTCCGGCTGCCACAAGTCGACACCCTTATTGGCTTTATGAGCCAACAAAGCCGCTTTTGCGCCATGTGCACTTGATTCTGGCTGCCACATGGGCTTCATTTTGTAATCCTTGGCTAACATCGCAGCAGCCGAGGCCGCAGCGGAGGGATCTGGCTTCCAATGTTCGAAAGTCTTTTGGTTCTGCCAACCTAAAGATGCTGCTGCTCCAGCTGCCGACTGACTCTTGTTCAATCCGACGGAGGGGTAACTTGGTAAATCTCGGGGCTTCGCGTATTTGAGAGATGCTGCTGCACCTGTTTGGAAAAACTGTTAGCGATGCTCTCATATTGTGTAAAGTGGAATCAAATAAATACCAGCAGACGACAATTTATTGTCGCTGTCCAGAAATTCATAGCCCGTTTTGGGCGTTTGATTATTCTGATTTGTCACGTAAAGAGCTGCTGTGGCAGCTTGATCTTCTAATTTGTTGGAGGTTGTTCGAGTTGGGTGCGATTTGCTTTCTATTGATACTCCATTGGTTTCAATGCCTGTAGCTGTCGCACAGATTAGTATATACATGCAGATAAGGAATCAAAGACTACTTTTACGCACCATGATTCCTGTTGGTCGACATGATTACACAATCTCCTCCCTTCTTCTTTGTTCTCCTGGTAGGTATGATTTGTTACTAGGAATGCAAGCTGACAGAAACGATACTGGCTTCCCGTTATGACATTCAGCTCAAACAAATTCGCAGCGAAGGGTTGAATAAAGGATGAAACGAATCGAAACGGAATTCATCAATGTTGACGAATGTATATCTTGTAACAGTCGTTTCTGTCGTTTCTGTCGCTTCTTGACGTGAAGTTGGACGACGATAGCTAGGACGAGCTTGCTAGTGACACATGCGATAAACTTGGACACTTAGTATACCGGCAGGTAGAATTTTTGGCACAATACCGGTATGGCTCTGATCGCTTTATTCCGTGTACTATAATATCGTATCTAACTGAGTATCGTCTAGTTTTTTCATCATCTCTCATAATTGTTCGGTTTTCAGGATTCAGATAGCAGTGGTAGCTGAGTTCTCTTAATCATCGGTCAAGCAAGCAAGAAATCAAGCTCTTCTCGAATCTCAAGAAAAGGGAAGTCTTGAACGAACATCCATGACGTAGTTTTGCGTTCAGCCACACCAAAACTTATGTGAGAGTGAATGCCGATAGGTCGGCATAATCAATTCGAGTGCCCAGACTGTTCATCGCAATCTTGGTGAAGGTAACCTTAGGTTGAGCTTACCTTGCCGTCGCTGCTCCGATAAGAAAAGACTTTCGATAAAGCATCATGAACCATAAAGAAATCATCCAGGAAAGCAGGTAGAGATATATGTATATGTGTTGTATTGATGTTGATGTACGTACAACTGGGGTTATGGCTCTTGATTCATCGTATTTCCCCAGAGATGATGCAGAATGATTGTATCTCCCTCTTTTTTATTGATGATCTCTTTCGTGATCTCCAGCAGGGATTTAAATTGCAAGTACTAGTACCGACCACGCCGACGCACTATCGCACATAATCTTTCACATCGTTTCCTTGTTTTATGATGTCGTTGTCGCTTGATGTGATAACCTCATCTATGCCAGGGTGATTGTATTCATTTCGCATCTTTATACACGACGACATCAATCATACAACATTCATTGCAAGAATCTCACCAGTCAATTGAAGAACCTTCTCCAACGAAATCGAACCTTTTCCCTGGTTCCATCTAAGAGTATCAGAAGTAACGACCTGTTCGAGAGTAGAGTACCAAATACGATACCTTCTTTCCTCTTTGATTTCATCATTCAGATCTTACCATCAACCATAACATTGTTGTATCCCACGTGGTGCTCCACACTCTAACGGTCCACCAAAGTTGATAATGGGCTCACAACCAAAAAATATGTATGATGGGCAGTTTAATAACATTCTGAATTTTCGTGATGTTGGTAAAACCATCAACGATTTCTTGGGGCGAAAGTATGTACCTACCTCATAAAGACCACCAACAGATTGGGACTGATTCTTTACCTTCAGACTTATTAAAGAAGGACGAATATATCGCTCTGCAAGGCCAGGTGTGTACATACTCGCCAGGCTGTGAGGTCATTCATGCCATATCCAGGACATCGGCCAATCCAGAGTGATGAATGCTGGCAAAAACGAATTATGTTAACAAATTTACCTGGTAGATGATGCTACGATGGCAGACAGGCAGCGGATTAAAGATCATTATGGTATCAAAACCATATTAGACCTGCGAACAGTGTAAGACATCTAGCTATCAATTATCTATCCCATCTAACCAGAAGTATCACAGAACAGAACATGATAAGCAAGCAAAGAAGCGGGTAGCAGATATGAGAGAACCTGTTCTCACAGAGTCAAACAGTGCATTGAATGAATCGGTGAAGATACCAGGAATCAAGTATCTCGAGATTAATGTGAATGGGAAAGGGTTTGAGAGGAGTTTAGTATGGCAATTATCGCCTTATAGTATCATGTAAGCTTTAACCACTAGGTAGTCTTTTCTGTTATTGCGAGCTGACCATGGCACATAGAAAATTGATCGGTCTGATGGGTTTGGGATACCGTTTGGAGGCCATCGGGATTCTAGGGCGACAGGTTTTGCAACCCAGAGGACTTATAGGATTGGGATACGATACGATACATCATTGTGGTCTAGAACTTGCTTCAGTAAACCATCATCAGCCTTTTATGAAATAACACATCTAACATATCCCAGGTTCTCAGGACTTACTGCTCTCCGGAAAATTATCCAATTCTTGCCCATTGTACCCAAGGAAAAGACCGCACTGGACTTACCATCGCCTTGATTCTATTCATCCTCGAGGTACCCATAGAAGCCATATCACATGATTATCTCATGAGTGAAGAGAAATTACTTCCTGAAAGAGAGAGTCGATTGAAGGAAATCCATGAGATTGGTCTGAGTGATGATTTTGCTGGATGTCCTGTAGATTTCATCGAGAAGATCTATGAGTATCTGGAGAACACTTATGGTGGTGTTGGGGATTATTTGACGACGATTGGTTTCACGAAGGATGAACGAACGGCTCTCGCAAAAGAACTAAAGCCATAGATGCGGACAGAAAAGGCTAGACTTTTGGATTAGACCTATAGAGGATGTTAAAGAGGGTGAGTGTACACTAAAGTTAATGCTACTAATTCCAAAGGCAGAATCTTTTGTTATGATTCTCACTTCGTTCGGGCTGCGTATGATTGAACGTATAAGAATGTTCCGAAGCATTCGCAACGTGCAAAATAAATATCATAAATAGACTTCTAAATCTGGTCCAGAAGATTGTGCTCCAGAATACGAAATTGCAAAATGGGTCTTGTAGTGCTTGATATACTTACCGAGTAGATCAATTGGAGTACTTTGTAAGAGTTCTGACCCCTGCTCACTGTATATATAATGCTTTTCCAGTTAAAATATGAGATTATTCAACTTTTTATATTCTAGTTTATTTCTTATAATAAAAGATAAAATTAGAAATTCTTTTGAAAAATATTATTTAATTAATCAAATCTTATAAAAAAAAATAGAATGTTTTTTTCTAATTTTTTAAATAGGATTTGAAAAAGTTAAAACTGAAAATCCTAAATTTTCATGAAAATTCGTTTATTTTATATGGGAAAAATATTATATATTAGAATTTTTGAAAAAATTCGATTTTAATATTATGTTCACAATAAAGGAGCAGGCCAGTGGAATGCATATAATATTGACTATATAGATTAGTAGTACTAAGGTAAAATCTAACTATAAAGTGAAAGTGATATATGCATAATAGTATAACGCACGTACTACAACTTCCAACACTCCCTTAGAGAGCATACTTTTTTAGCTTCTGTAGTTAGTTTTGAAGCCCTAGCATATTCTTGAATCTCTTAAATATCACCTTTACACATAGTTTTGTTAATCCATCTGCAGCCATATCACTTGTATTGACATAGCTGGTATTAACTAGGCATTTTTCTATAAATCCCGAATAAAGTAATAATATATATTAATATACTTTAATCGCTCGTATAGATATAGATTCTTAGTTAGTGCTAGTGTTCCTTGATTATCTCCAAGTATTTGAACTTCGCTGTTATTTCTGATATATTATGGTTACTCTAAATCTCTCAAAAGTTGAGTTATTCATTATCCTTGTTTGGTAAATATTGTTATAGAAATGTACTCAGTTTTTGTATTAGATATAGTTACAAATATCTGCTTCTTGCTTGCTCATAAGATTGGTTTATTATAAAACATTATTACTCCACCAGAGATACTTTTTCGATTGGTTTTATTGCTTACTTAGTTTGTGTTGGTATATACTTTGATAATCCATTGTGGGAGGTTATATTCTTTACAAATATTTAATTGAACTCCCCCAGGCCCAAAACATAGTTTCTATTTGATAGTCGACCTCAAATATTTTATAAGGTTTTGAGTACAACGCTGTAATATTTGGCAGGATTCAATATGACTTGTGCTGATCTTTCAAGACTGAATGCAATATCCGGTTTAATGTAAATCATAGAGTGAATTGTGCTGCCAATTGCTTGTTAATATTCATTTATATTAGTGAGCTTATTATCTGGGAGTGTTAATTACAATTGGTTGTAATCCGAGATTGGTATCTTCCTTGGAGTATATTGATCATGGGAGATCCTGAAACGGGTAAGTATTGTATCCAGATACTCTTCTTAATCCATAGTTAATACTCTCTTAGATCTATTACGAATGATATGTACTTTTAAGATCTTACTAATCTTCCTTAGGTCTTTGGTATTGAATCAAGCCAAAAGATTATGATAAAATCATTTAATATCTCGTTTTTGTGCAGTAGCGATAACAATATCATCTATATAAACTAGGAGAAATAGCTATTGCGGATGATTGATATATAAACACAGGTCTGAAAGGCCTTGTACAAAACTCATCTTGATTAACTCTCTCTTTAGAAGAAGACTCCAATCTCTACCAGCTTGCTTTAGCCTATAAAAGCTTCGAAATGCATATAGAATACAACCATAACAAACTTGGATATCTTGAGGGGGTATTAAATAGATTTCTTCTTTCAAGTATAATTCAGTGAATGTATTTTTGATATTAAAATGAGAATATTCAAGATCTTCTCTTACAATAATTGTAAGGAAAAGGTAAAGAGTATTGAGTCGAACTATAGGAGCAAAGGTTTTGTTGTAATTTTTATCTAAAACTTAACTGAATTCTTTAGTCACTAATCTAGCTTTGAATCGCTTTATTTTATTATCTTTTGTTTTGATAGTAAATACTTATTTTATTGAAACTAGATTACTTTCTTGTAATAAAATAAATTCTTTTCAAATGCTATTCTTGACCAATGAGTCTACTTCTTCTTGAATTGCAGCTTGCTAGTCTTTTGCATACCTCTTGTTTGTTATTGTATTTTTGTATATATTTGATATCTTGATCCCTAGTATTTCTATTGTTGACAAAGCGGTTTCAATCTCTGTTGATATATTTTCCAAAAGAGTCAAGATTTTGAAAGCAATTCCATTATTCGTTTTCATCTTGAATTGGTGAATATTTGGGATTGCAATCATAGTATACTCGATTGATTCTGATGCTGGCTTATTCAAGGAGGTGAGCAGAGACCGAATGATTTTGGAGGTATGTCTTTCTATATCGTTGTTGTCATCTCTCTTTCTTTTTTTGAGATTGTACCTCGAATTTGATAATATTAAAGTAGGTGCGGATATAGATACTGTAGATAATAAAGTTTTATAAGATAATATAATCGAATTTAATAGTGTAGAATCAGAAGTTGAAGTAATCTTAGGTAAGGTAATCTTTATTTCTTTATCATTTTCCTCTATTAGTTTTGGTAAATCATTAATTATTTATCGGATATTTTTATGTTTGTTTTTATTAAAGTATAATATTCCAATCTTTATTTGTTTTGGTATTAGCAAGCGTACCTCTATCGAGTCTATAATTATTCTATTTAGTAATATTAATAAATCGATCGAAATAAACAATGATTCAGGAACATTTTTAGATCTGCCACAAGGCCTGTAATCAGGTTCTATATTCTTGATACCTTATAATCCGGCTGCATAGTTTTTGAATTTGAAATCCAGATCCCCTCCTTTATAGCTTTCATCGATTGTAATATAATAAAAGCAATAAATATAATCTAATTCTAATGAATAAACCTTTATATACTTAATGATATCTTTTGAGTATCCCAGGAATATCCCAATCTTTACTATATTACAAAATTTATCATACCTTTGTTCTATTAGAATAGTTTTGGAATTGATATAAGTATAATATCGACTCCCTTAGATCTTACATATATCGATATCTGGTAATATACCTGTAAATGTTTCAAATAGGTTTTGATCGATTCTATTTGCATCTAGACCAATACTAATACGGTTTCGAATGTATATATCGTATTCGATAGTTTTGTTTCAAAATTCTAATAATAAGTAAGTTTCTTTCAATATTACTTTTATATCGGTTTCTGCAGTGTGTATATTGCATTCGGCTAGGTCATTTTGATAAGACAATACAACCATTGTAACCTCTGATCGCACACCAATCTTCCATTCCCGAATAGCTTGAAGAAGTTCTGGTACATTATTGGTTCTAACAGCAATTACAGCTACTCCTGTAGTAAGTTTAATCTCTTACTTTCAGACTTTTAGTAAGGGTATTACATTGCTTTTTTGTTTCAATAGAATAATCTAATTTACCTTTGTAGCACTATTTATAATAAGGAGGAAATATCTATATCCTCAAATAATCTTTAGAAAAAGGCTAACAATATCGAAATGGATTAATTCCAGCCTTTTAAACTTTCGTGCATTTAGTTGGCTTGGGATTCTATTAATTATTTTTATAAGAGCATATATTTTATAAATATCAAGAGTTGAAGGAATCTTGATTGGTCTTTGGAGTATAGTGATTTTATACAGGTTTCTGATTTTATCAGAACCGAAATAATTAAAGCATCTATACTAAAGAAGGTATCTTTCTTTTTCTATCATAGTTAATTCTTCAATTTCCCCTTTTGTTTTATTAATGATTTTTGTAGAGAGTGTAAAGAATATAAAATCCTTGTATTCTAGTTTTATATACGAAATGATATATATCCTATCTTTTATTATAGCTTTAATGATTTTATTATTCTTATCATTTTCTAGTATAAAATACATCTCCTTAAAACTGAATATACCCTTAAACCCTGCCTTACAAATTCTTTTAGTTGAGAGTAGGTTGACCTTCAATCCTGGTATATATAGTACTCTAGCTAACAATGTTCTTATTCTATCCTTGTATATTATATTCACTATTCCTTGTTCATCTGAGTATATAGCTCCCCTATCAATTATTATTCTTTATTGTAAAATATAGATTAGATTTTTGAAGAAAGAATGTTGGTTAGATATATATAAGATAGTACCAGTATCAGTATATCATTGTAATAGGAATGCTTTATTAATACTTTCCTTAATGAGATGATAATACTTAGAGTCAGATTCATTATCAACAATACTCTCAGTGGTATTAGAGTTTGATTTAGCAATATAAGCCTTATACTCCTTATGCTTTTTGTTTCTTTGTAATAAAAAGGTAGATTATCTTTTCTTTTATTTATACTTTGAATTGGATTTTAAAAGATATTTAACATACCGAAACTGAAAGCATTTTAGAACTGAGTAATCAGATTTGTTATAGAGTTTGTAAGTAACAACGAGTATATCGGATTTCGAGCTTGTACTGGTTTTATGCTGACAATGAGATAAAATATATTTCTTTTTTTTTGTAAGATATACCGAATTTCTAGAGTTTTGTATCTCAACTTCTTTAACCTGTAAATACTTAATTTTATTATTAATACTTAAAATAGAACTAACAATACAAATCATATCAATGATGATTTTATATTTATTAAAGAAAGATAAGATTAAACTTTGAAAAAATGATTTATCTATACACAAAGCATTAGCTGAAGTGTTTGTAAATAAGAGTTTTCTTTAAAGATCCTTAAGCTTATCCCATACACCTATAATAATCATATTAGGGATATTATT